TACCCGGCTAGTTCTTCTGCGCGCACCATCTTCAACTTAAAAAGAAGAATTTTCTGGTATATGTGTGGGCTAAAGTGTGATTCCCGTTGCCATTGGCACCAGTTTTTGGACTCAGGTCTACGGCGGTGGCGGGGAAAGGAAAGATTTGTGTATTAAAACTAGCTAGGGCTGTAATTTAGGAAAGGATTTTTTTAATTTGAGTCTTGAGGGATCTTTTTGTAATAAATTTGTATAGGAAAATATAAAAATAAACATTAATTTAAAGTCAATATGATGTTAATAAATTTAATTAGATAATTAATAAATTAAATATTATTTTTTATTTTTGATAAAAATTTTTTTTTTTCAAAACTTTTAATATGTACCTTAGCACATAAACTAAAAATATCTTTAAGAAACGACGCTATGAGTCCAAATTCATGCTCGGGCCCAAAAGCCCATCCTGTAAATGGAAGAAAGTCTGAAACTGGACTATGTGCAGCCCAATTCAGATCCTTCATAATTCATATTATTATGTGTGGAAACAAGCCCGATACTGTTATGTCTAAGCCCAGGTCATTTTTTGAGACAAGAACCAAGAGAGAATTAAAATAAGTTATTTGTGTTTTGTTTTTTTTTAACATTTTGTCATAGGCCGGCTCGAACAGTTGTCCTTGGAGAGGGAGTATGAACCTTATAACAGTGACTAATTGTGTTTTCACTTATGTTTTTAATAAAATTATTATGTGATTTAGATTACTCTAAACTACACAATTAAAATAGTTAGATGGGTGGGATCTTATTCTCTATCTCTTCTTCTTCTTTCTTTCTTTCTTTCTGCTTTTTTATTTTTTTATTTTTTTATCATTGAAAGTATTTTAAGAGTTTCTTTAGCTTGCCTATAAAAATTCTTTAAATAAGGTTTTTTATATAAATGTAAAAACAATCCAAACGAAATTAAAAAGATGAGATAGGAGTTGAGGTTGTTTGCTTGGAATTAAAATATTAGAATTGCAACACAAATTTGAAGTGGCTAATCGTACAATATAGAAATTGAAACAAAGCTTTTGAGATTGAGATAAACCAAAATGTAAAACGTTGCAACTAATCTCTGTTAAAAGAAAAATGACAAATTTGCAATGGACCCAAAAAAGGGCACAAGGAAAGGACTTGGCTTTTCAGTTACCCTCCGCATCAGGACTTGCAATTTGGGGGCGGGCGGTTAAAGTCTTAATTACCTGAAGCAATTGGCAGAAAGAAATGAAGTCAAGGGTGTGGCGAGAATGATATCTAGCTTTAAAGCAATTCAAGTGAAAGACAAATTTCAAGTTAAGAGTGATTTATTGTGTCATTATAAGGAACTCTATAAAGAAAATTTTACCTCAAAAAAACAAAGTAATTCATTGTGTCATTATAAGAAACTCTGTATAAAAAAGAAGATTGGTTGATTGGGCAGCTAAATATAAGAAACCAGCAATGAATTCAAAAGCAAACAGAGTAATGTACAAGAAGCAAAATGGAAAGATATAATGACTAGGAACAGAAGCAAAATCGTAAGATAAAGGAAGTGCAATCATAAGAAGAAACGAAATATTACCGTTGCAATACATCTTTATGTCCTCTCTTCCATATCATCACCTTGGACCAGATAAAACAGATGGAATCAATGCAGCTGTATGAGTTTGGTGTCCGAGAGTTTCCACTTCAACCAGTGCTGGTGGATTTGAGAAATCATATTTGTTTTCATCATCCATTTTGCCCTCTAAGAAATTCACCACGATGGACATTGATGGCCTCCTAGCATATTCAACTTGCAAACAACAAGCCGCGACTTTCATCATCTCCACAACCTCTGCCGCATGTGATTGCATCTCCTCATTGTACTTATCCACTAGATCCAGAAGTTGACCATCCTCAACCTTTCTCTTAAAAAGGCTTACCAAATGGAAATCCTCTTCCGGTAGGGATTCATCAACATTTTTTCTGCCACATAAAATTTCCAGAACAACAATGCCAAAGCTGTATACATCTACTTTTTCTGTGATTGCTGAGTTCAACCATTCTGGGGCCATATAACCTGGCGTTCCCTTCATTGTTGTCACAATTCGGCTTTGCTCTCTCCTTACTAGCTTAGACAACCCGAAGTCAGAAACCTTGGCATTGAAATTTTCATCCAAGAGGATGTTTTGGGGTTTGATATCCAAGTGAACTATTTTCTGCCTGCATCCTTCATGGAGATATGCTATTCCCTTGGCTATGTCTACAATCATCTTTCTTCTACTTTGCCAACCGAGAACAAGCAGTTTGTCTCTGTAGAAGATCCATTGATCCAATGACCCGTTACACATGTACTCATAAACCAAAAGCATGTGAAGTTTCTCAGCACAAAACCCAACTAGTTGTATCAAATTGAAATGGTGAATGCTTCCTATGGTCTCAACCTCAGCTATAAATGACTTCCTTAGAGGACCAAAACCGTCGAGGCATTTCACTGCAATTTGAACACCAGAGGGTAATGTTCCTTGAAAAACACAACCAAATCCTCCCTTGCCGAGCTTGTTGCTGAAGTTGTTGGTTGCAACCTTTAACTCTTCATAAGAGAATCTCGTGGGTGTTCCTGAGATGTGACCCAGATAATCCTCGTCAACATCCTTTGGATCCTTTTTAATTTGTAGTAAAAAGAAGGTGGCGATAAGAAACCCAATAAAAGTTGCTCCAAGAGTGATTGCAAGTATAACTCCTACATTCTGTCTTTTCTTTCTTTGATGTGCTGGTGGCAAAAGATTCCTTGGTGGAATCTGTGCAAATGGAGAATTCTGCACCTTTAAAAATAGAGATTGATTGACATCTGCATTCACTGTCTTGAATGAAAATGCTTCAGATCTAAGAAGGCAATAGCCAGGATCTGAGTAACTAGCAAAAGAAGGCTGAAAAACAGCGTACAGGCAGGAGCAGTTCTTTAAACAAGCTTGCTTGCAGCTCTCTATGTCTGTTATGATACAGGCATGGTTGCAGCGCTCTATGTCTGTTAGGACATAATTATATAAGCTGGACAAGCCAGAGTTATCTACATCCTTCAGCTCAAGAAGCCTCTGCGACCGAGGAGACTCACAAGATATTGGATTATATAGAGAACACCCAAGGTTTAACTGTGAAGGATTTATCTGCTTGAAATACATAGTTCCATTTTCTTCATCCGCTTCTGGGCAACT